AACAAACTGCTTACGCCGATCAGCTGTACCTGATCCACCTTCATCAACTCCTTCAGATAGATTGCCGTGACGCTGGCGCTTTGTTCTTGTACCATATATTATTAATTTTGCTTTTGACATTCTAGGTCTACTCTGTTTCGTTCCAAGTTATAGGTGGATTTATTTTTTATTAAGTATCTACGACATCAAATTAGTTTTATTATTTTTCATTCATGAAATATATCTTGATAGTACACTTATTTGAAATTTTAGATGTTAACATATTTTTAAAAAAAATTGTGACTAAAGCTACTCTCTTCGTCCCCGGAAAAATGCAGTTCTCACTTTTCATTGAGTCAAACAATTTTAAGTTTCACCAAATCCATAAAAAATTACTAACATCTATAGTACTAAATAAGTATCATTAGAATAACTACAGAATATTTTTTTTATAATAAATCTATTCGAAGACACAAGTATTGATACTATTTTTTTATAAACTCGATCAAATTTATGAAAATTTAACTTGTTCTATACCTAGAATTGTAAGTAGTAGTAGAAAAGTTAGCAGCCTGTTCGGGAGGCCGTATCGTATCGTGGATTATTTACTGTTGGCTGGTTTGGTGTGAGAGAAAAACACTGTTCCCGGCTAGAAATTTACGATCGTTTACGAGCAAGCGAACATGCTGTAGACTTTAAATGAAACTAAGGTAACCAACAATTTTTAGACTAAAGCGGGTACATAGGAGGAGAAGAATAGTTAGATACCTCCTCCGTTTGGTTGTTTCATGTTCTTATTATACCATTATTATTGTTCATATTTGCTTTTTGAAAGTTTGAAAGAACGAGTGAACCCAAAAAAAAAACAATTGGCTGGTCATCGCACAAAATCATATGTACGCCACAAAGCCACGTGATCCAGCGTCATCTGCTCCACATAGGGGCTGATTGGTAGCCCGGAGGGGGCCGTCCTCGCACGGTTTACCTGGGTGGCCTCATTCCAGCGTTGTGTTTGGTTTTCCTCCTCGCATCTTTCGCCTGCTCGGTCTCATACCTCTACCCCCCTCCATCCCGCACGCCTCCGTCTTCTCGATTTCCACTTCCCTCTCGATGGAGGACGACTCGATGCTTGGCGCGAATGCTTCGGGCGAGCGCGGGTGTTGGCTAGGGTTACCGCCCCCCATTTCGCGCCTCTCCTTCCTCCATTGCTCTGGTGCGCCTTTCCTCCTGCTCCCCCTCGATCTCGGTTGACCGCCGAAGTTGACCTTGACCGGCGGATTCATGGTGGTCCTCCGGTGCCGCGACAGTAGACCTCACCTGCGCCTCTCTCCTCTTCCTCTCTGTGCGGTGCTTTTGTTGATTTATGTGCGGATTTTGTTTGAGCTGTACCATGATTCTAGGGTTCTTATTCTTACATACTCATATTTATGACCTGCTATTCTTGATCTACTTGTTCCTTGTTGTTTCCCTCTGGTTCCACGCTCAGATCTGTGGTACGGCTAACTTTTTTTCTAAATATGTGGTATGCCGCAAATGCATGATCCCTATCTGAATTTTTGCTTGCTCCTCGGCTAGAGTGCCTGATTGCAGGGGATGGATGTGTCCCAAGGCTTTATGGCTTTTCTGACACTCGGTTTCAACTATTTTCATTGTAATTGTCTTTGATATTCTTGTTAAGCCTATGATGATAACTAAACTGCCATGTGTACTGGATTAAAAAACCTGATGACCTTGAGCTTGTGAGGTACTGGAACTCTATTCTAGTTCTTATTGGTTTTCATGTTTGTTTTTTGCCATTGCTATGTTGCCTTTTGTGTTTCTTATGCTCCAAGCTCAAGGTCAACCGAGGAAAAACTATTATCTAAGACCAATCTATTAACCACTTATAAAGATGAAAAAGTTCTTGAGAAACTTACTGCCACTGTCGTTGCCAAACCATCTTGGCTATTTCTTCTTTGCATGGTTCAGTCTTTCATGTTGCTGGTGCTCATCTTTTACATTGTTAAACGTGGGAAGAACTGCCTGTGATGATTAACCTACAACCATGTACTCATCAATTTACTTTGACCTTGTGAGGTACTAGGACCGATTTGTTGATGTTTAATAGCTGGTTGGACTGTTGTATTATTTTGTAATATCTCTTATGCTCCAAGGTCTTAGTTGATGATGATACAAATTGATCCGAGTTAATGTTTGTGTTGTTATGCTTGTTTGGATGAAAATTGTAGTAACCTCACCAAAGTGATACATGGGTGCTCACACCTCGTGCCATGCTGCAAATCAAACACAAGAAGGAGGACTAGCTCATTCCTAAATTTGGTGCAAGCAGGCAACCAAACAAACTCACTGTCATCCAGTATCACTCTCAAAGTTACAACCAAACACACCTAGGTGTATGGTTTCACTGTCTCACTCTGGCCAGACTGACCCTCCATCCGGATCCCCTCCCGGAGCAACCAATCACGCCCATAGATTTGCCATGACGCCGATGCTTTGTTACGATCCCATATTAATTTTGCTTTTGTTATTCTAGTTTCTACTCTATTCTAATTTAACCAAATTTATATAAAAATAAATAAAACAACGTCTACCACATTAAAGTAGTTTTATTAAATTATATATTTTTATAGTGCACCTATTGAACTTGTAGATTTTAATAGTTTTTTTTATAATTTAGTTAAATTTAGAGACATTTGATTTAGAACAAAGTTAAAATAGCCTATAGTTTGGAAGGGAAGAGTAAGATTTTGGGGGAAAAAGAAGGTTAGATACTAATTCAATCATTTGCTTTTTCCTATTCCATTACTAAAAATGGTTATTGTTCAGATTTGTTTTTGAAAGTTTAGAATAACCAGGGAAGCTAAATACGGCCATTTTCAATTGTCACAGTACCGGCCGTCTGCCAACGGAGGCCCATGAAAACATGACACGATCTGGTCGTGGCCCACCAGGAAAGCGGTCAGCTGGACTGGCTCGGCGGCTCCGGCTGACGCTCTAAATAGGTGCCGTTCGCTGGTTTGGTTTCCAGACCAGCCGGCCGGTTCCTCCGCACAGCGGCACTATTTATCAACCAACCGCTACAGTATTTCTCTCTCACATAACTAGCTGCTACAGTATTTTGGCTTTTTTTTTCCAGACAAGCGAACGGGGCCATAGTGGTCAGTGAGATAAAAAAAAAAGAAATAGTGGTCAGTAGCGACAGTCAGCGACGATATTATATGCTCCTTATCTGTTGCAAAATGCAAATTAGTATGCTACCACATACTCCCTCTGTCACTTTTACCTACAGTATTAAATCAGATAATCTTCAGTTTAATCAAGTATATTTATAAAAAAAATATAAATATTTATGATATTAAATAAGTATCATTATAGATTCATCATGAAATATTTTCATAATATATCTATTTATAAATCATAATTGGTGATACTATTTTTTTATAAATTTAGTCAGGAAATAGTTTGACTTGGATCAGAAATAGAAGTTTCTTTTTTTTTTGGGATAGAAGGAGTATGTGTCTAGAAATTATACAATTGAGTTATTGAATTGAATCATGCATAGCTTTGTCGGAGCATGGCCTGGCGTCACTCACTGCCGCATAGTTGCCTTGGCCGTGGCATGGGCAGTGGGGATGGATTCAGATCAGATTTGAATGGAATCAATCGAATTGAATATCACTATTTACAATATTTTAAAATTGAATTCAAAAACAATTATGAATGTTATCGGATAAGGATAAATACAGAAAGTTTGAATCTGGACTCACATTCAGATATCTACTTGATTTTGAAGGTAACAAATATCTATTTGATTCATTGATTGTTTTACAAGAACTGAATCATTATACAAATAGGGATTAAACTTAAGATGTGAAAAAACAACACACACATGGAATCGCACAAATTATAGTAAAATAGTGAGCAAACAACAGTTTTTAGGTAATACGGAGTAGTACGTCTAATATTAAAAATAACTTTTGTTTTTCACAAAACCATTAAAAATCCATCAAAAGAACATGATGAATGTTAGAAGATATACATGTACCAATGAATATACCCATGCTCCATCGACGGTAGATCAAGAGGCTCGGGTTTGAGAAATCAAGCCACCGGAACTCCGATTAGAGGCGTCACCAGTCGGCCACGTCTCCTAGCCATGCGCCCAAGCGCTCGCTCAATATTCCGTGGAGAGAAACGCTATCCGAGCACGACAAGAACAGAGGACGGGGTGCGCTAGGGCCGGATAACCAGCCACCTCAGTCGACTCGTTCTGGCTCGTTAAGTAATGAGCCGAGCCCGAGCTTATTATCTTAGTGAGCCAAAAGGTCAGCTCGGCTCGATCCGTTTACCAGTTTGAGCTAGCTCGTTAAGCCCGTGAGCCAAATATAAAAAATACACGAAATATAATATTTGCTTTTATTTAAAACTTGAGAGTAGTAATAATACAAAAATAACACATCCAGAAGTCTTAAATCGAACAAAAAATTGATATGTGCTAACATATATAAAATATAATAATATACTATAGTATTACACCATACATCCATGGTCCATACTCTATACCATACAAAATGCGTCCATAAGTATCCATACATCCACTTAAAAATAAAACAACAAAGTCATAATAATCCTAAGTTTTTAGGGTCTAGACCAGTCATCAACCATTTGTAAAGTGAAAGACAAGAAGTAATACAAAAACTAATATAAGTTCTGCTACTTTTTTTCTCTGGAAACGTAGCTCGTTTTGCTCGTGAGCGGCTTACGAGCTGGCTCGAGTTGTTTCGTTATAGCTAACGAGCTAAGAGCATCTCCAAGAGTATCCTAAATTTTCCTCCCAAAAACTTCATGTTTTCCAACTCCTAAAAAGGTATTGGGAGAGAAAAAGAAGTCCATCTCTAATAGTACCCAATATTCCACTCTAAAAAATTAAAATTTGGTCCTACTTGGGTTTTTTCTGCGGGCACTTTTTTCCCCGCGAAAGTCTTCGACGCCGCCGCCGCTCCTCCTTCTTTCGTTGTGACCTAGCCCTGCAGTTCCAGCCGGCCATGGCCACCTCCCAGCAGGTCGGCACCATCTCCAAGCCACAGGTCGCCGGCAGCACCTCCCAGCAGGGCGGCACCACATCCCGACCTTCAGCCACAGGCCGCCAGCCACCAGTCAGGCCGGCCAACAATCTGAAAGTAATGTTTAGAGCATCATAACCATCGCAACCAGGAAACAATACCATGCGAACAGTACCATGCAAGCAGTAGTAAGCAGCACGTACACAGCCGGCCACGGACGCCAGCAGTCCAGGGCAATCCCGGCGGCGGCAAGAAGCACACAGCCGGCCACGGCAAACCTAGCGACGGCCAAGGGAAACCTAGCTACGGCCAAGGCAGTCCATGGTGGCGGCGTGATGAAGCAGCGCGCCATCGACGACCGTGTCGCCTCCATGTGGCGCCGCGTGCAGGAGACGGAGCGCAGGCCCAAGCAGATGCTCGGATGATCCCGACGCGGTAGTCACTCCCGCCCATAAAATCAGATCAGATCCACCAAAAGCATCAAATAGACATCCATGGAGCATGGACAGAACATAACATCATTATCATCCATCATGGGCTGACTGTAGGCCCCTGCCATGCTTCCATATGACGGCTGCCGCCGGTCTTGCCTCTTGGGCGTTCCAAGCGGCGGCCACGCACGCCGCAATGGCATTGGCAAGCAAGAAGTCGGCAGAAACAGCAGCACAAGAGGGCCAAGCTGCTGACTGACACTGGGCGGCGCATGGTCGTCACTTAGTACCCGCCGCCGAACGCAAACGAGCACCCGCCACCGGCAGATCCCACGGCAGCATCCACGGCAACGTCGCCGAACACGCCGCTGCTGCTGTAGAACCCGGCGAAGTCGACAGCCTCGGGGCCGAGCGCCACCATGTTGTCACCGCCGAGCAGCAGCCTGGCCCGCTTCTCGCTGCCCTCCGCGGCGGAGGGCGGCTCGGCAGCATCGCCGCCGGAGGTGAACCCGTTGTCCGGTGCGGCGGCGTCGCCGACGACCTTGAGGAGGAAGGCGAGCATCTGCTTGGGCCTGCGCTCCGTCTCCTGCATGCGGCGCCACATGGAGGCGACGCGGTCATTGAAGGCACGTGAAGACGAAGCCGTGCAGGAAACCTCTTTCCGCGCGACGCCGAGTCCGCATAAAGTTACGCGCGATAGGAGAGAATTTTTCAAGTGCGTAAATTTTAGAAGGATATATTAGGAGTTGTTGGAGAGGGATTTTTTCTTATCTTACTAAAAACCAAGGATTAAGAGGAGATTTAGGATACTTTTAGAGATATTCTAAAATCTCGATTAACGAGCCGAGCCAGCCACGAGCCAAACGAGCTGACGAGCTCCGAATTTTTCGTCCAGACTTAGATGCGCCTCATATCCGTGCCTGCGAGGTGACTATGCTATCTGCCCCTTCTATTCTGGGCTAGAGCTAACTGGGCTACCAGCTAATTGGACTATTCACTGTCTACTTATCTTAATTTGCTTGGCCCATAAACATCCCATTACCGCCTACGTCAACAGCAAGCCCAGGAGGGTGGCCGGTGCTTTCTTCTCCAATCGGCTGGCCCAGGAGGAGGCTTTCTTCTCCAATTGCCTGGAACAGATGCTTAGTCTGTTCGGTTAGATGGTTCGTATCGTTGCTGGTTTGTTTATGTGAGAGAGAGAAGTACTGCTGGCTGGTTCATATGAACAGTATTCATGTGAGGGGGCTGGCCAGCTAGCTCAGCCAGCCAGCCAGCCCTAGCCGAACACGGCGGCTGTCGCCGCCGCCAGTTCTTCAAGCAAGTAACAAAAATCATCACCGGCCATGGATTCAAAGGGGAAAAAAATAGTGAGGTCTCTGAGGCTCGACAGCCGGTAGCTGGGGCGGCCGCCCCCACCTACAGGATGGGTCCCTATAGATAAAGACAACTCATAAAAATAACATATTTGTCAATAAATATTTCATCAATTAAATATATCAACTAATCAATAAATTATATAAAATACTATTATTAATAGTAAATAAAGTAAAGCATTTTAAATAATATGATAATCCATAATTCCATATTAAAATTGATTAAAATAACCTTTATTTATCATTAGTAATGTTAAAAATAACATAATGTCATTATCCATGTAGATAGCTTTTAAATAGTTCATATGATAAATATCATTTGTAATATTAAAATTAATATAACTAATATTAGTAATTAGTCAGATATATAAGTTTAAATGGTTTTAGTAGGTACTTTGTTCTTTTTAGAACAAATAATATCAGATATTAAATATCTTTTCGAATACATATATGGAATTGAAAGAAAAATAACAAAAATGAATATTAGAATGTAACACAAACACATATGTTTATATTAATATTTTAGTGGATACAAATATCGACTAATTTAGATGTTCATACATCCAAATTTATAGGCGGATGGTCACCTACTATTATGCTACATCAGGTGTAGTCCGCGTCTCCACGATAACGAGGAAATCGAGAGCAGCGACACTCGTCCAGTCCTAGCCTCCTTAGGGAAACCCCGAAAGCTGCCAAGCCCTCGCCGTCTTGCCGCCTACGACCTAGCGCTATCCGCCAGAAAACTCTCCACGAATCGGCATAAACTCTACTCTCCGTTTCGCATGCGCCGCCCATCTATCACACCCCTTGGCCGCCGGCGTTCGTCGTCCACGTGAGGTCACCAAGTAGGCACAGAGATGGGAGGACGAGCAGAGGTCAGGTCCCTCTTGCCGTTTTTGTTTCTGTGAATTGCAATGGGGGTTTCAGTTTACAGCCCACTCCTTATTACACACGATGGCTGGCCATTGTCCCCACTCATCATAGACACACAGGAATACATGTAAATGAAATGGTGTCTCTCTCCTTCGAAGGCGCACTCCCGCCAGGGCGTTTCCCTTACTTCATCGCAGCGTCGCGTGTGACACCATCCGCTCGGCCGCCTCGCACGCCCCAAATCCCCCGGCTGCGCTTCCAAAGCCAGCAGCCGGCGGGCCCCTCTACAAAAGCAGGCGGCTTGCGCGTGCGCGACGGGTAGCAGACAAGCAGCTGCCTGAGCCAGTCCCGCCTTGGTGAGCACGCGGAGCAGACAAGAGATGGCGGCCACGGTGGAGGGGGTGCGGCACCGGGCGGTGGAGGCGAACGGAGTGCGCCTGCACGTGGCGGAGGCTGGGCCCGAGGAGGGCGGCGCCCCCGTGGTGCTGCTCCTTCACGGCTTCCCGGACCTCTGGTACGGCTGGCGCCACCAGATGGCCGCCCTGGCGGCGCGCGGCTACCGTGCCGTGGCCCCGGACCTCCGCGGCTACGGCGACTCCGACTCCCCGCCCGACGCGTCCAGCTACACCACCTTCCATGTCGTCGGGGACCTCGTCGCGCTCATCTCCGACCTCGGCCAGCCCCAGGTTTTACTGCAGCAATCCGTTCGATTCTTGCACGCACTGCACCAAGCTGCGAAGCAGAAACGCGACGTTGACTTTTTTTTTCTGTCTTTCTTTTTGATCGGGTTATCTTCTCGCTGCAGGTGTTCGTGGTGGGGCACGATTGGGGCGCCATCGTGGCGTGGCAGCTGTGTCTGCTCCGGCCGGACCTGGTGCGGGCGCTCGTGAACCTCAGCGTCGTGTACCACCCGCGGCGGCCGGAGATGAGCCCGCTCCAGGCCATCAGGGCTGTCTGCGGCGAAGACTACTACATGTGCCGCTTCCAGGTAAACAAGTGGAGTACTCTGCTCCATCCCCATTGCATACTGCTACTGCAGTCTCCTATGGGCCAGGCAGGATCAATCAATGGTCTTATTTATGATAAGTAGTCATGTTCCGTCCTCTGCCCAGATAACCATTCGTTCGTGCGTTTGGCATTATTCTGGTTGACTTGTTTAATTTGGCAGATTGGTTGGATGGATGCTGGAATGATTACTTGGTGCCTCAATTTGATTCTCCTAGCTGTTAAAATCACTGAGGAAGGATCGGATTTGGCACTGCCGCACAGATAATACTGGGAGTGGCCAATAACAGCTAGGAGTATCACAGTTGCCGATAGATAAGATTGTCTCCAACGATCGGAACCCATACACGGGACGCATTCGGTGGATTGAGTAGCCTACAGGAAATGGGTGCGTGACCCAAAACTCCTCTTTTCCAACAGCCCACGCATACGCGAGCCCCGACTTCATCGCCCCCATCCCAATCTCCGACGAGTCCGCCGCCCTCGCGGGTGGCACGCCGGTGGCCCCTCCCCCTCTGCCTCAGCCTGCAGTTCAAGAAAGACATAACTCCTGCATGCCATCCAACTGAAAAACAATAGCAGGTGCTTCGCAGTCCATCCGACTGCAAGATCCAACAGCTAGCTATCTAGCTTGCGTGCGAATCGAAGAGAAAGAGATCAATCAACCAGCACAACACTCACCAGCCGATGTCGTGGTCGACGATGCAGTGCTTGCTGTGCGCCGGCGCGGATCTAGATCCGGTTGTTCTTGACTGTGCTCTTCGTTCCCGTTTCTTTCCCCTTCTTGATTCGTGCTCGATTTGAGTTTTGATGTGAGATTTGTTTAGTCAGATTGATGCTTTGACGAGTGTTGAACAATCCTACCAAGTGGTTTGAATCAATTCCACTCGTGCATCAAGATCCAAGCCGATCTTCATTTTGGGAGAAAAACTCGTTCTTGCTCGAATTTCTTCGATTTACAGAGTTACAGTTTAAATTGAGCAATGATCTCCTAGGAGTAGCTTTTTATCTTCATTGCGAATCGCTGTGCAAAGTTTGGGAGCGATCCATGAAGATTTGAGTCAGATTTCATCGATTTTCTTGGCCGCTCCTTTTCTGTTCTTCGCGTGCGAGCTCTTTGTTCGTCGTGTGCTAGTTGATTTGGCTCCTGGCCGAGCACACCAGCAGCGCCCAGCGCTGATCGGCTCCAGGCCGAGCAGCAGTTGCCCGCACCGCTCCTGCCGCGGAAGACTTTGCGTCTTGGAGAAAGACGATGCAAATAAGCGTCTCGGTTGGACTCGTACCCAAAATGCATCATGCGTTTGCGTCTTCGGTTGGAGACGGTTTTCTTCCGTAAAAACACTGTGCATGACCGATTTTGGGTATGCGTCGCCCTTTGCATGAGCCGTTGGAGACAGTCTAAGGGTGACGAAATAAATGCTAATTGGAACTTTTGATTTAAAAAATGAAGTACAGCCCCTAGACTCAATTGAGAGGTTGTTAGCAGATCATTTTTTATAGAAACTTGAATACTTACTCCTGTGATTTCTTTTTCCTTACAACAAATTAATATCAACACAGTAACAGTTATATGCAAGGTTTCTTCTAATATAATGATACACAGCTCTTCTACATGTTCGAGGAGAAAAAACAGTTTTGTGCAAGGGTCCATATAAAAGCATTGTTTACTGGAAATATCAAGCCTTCTTTGGACCTCTATGATGAACATCAGCATGCAGCACCAGGTCTTTTAGAGATGTAAAACTTAACTAACTATTCATATTGTCTTATTAATTTTAGCTGATTTAAATTTTCAAGGGCAATAACAATTCTTGGATGTCACTGTCTTGAAATCATCTACTTTGTCGCATACCATAGTGCGGTTGTGTGGAACAAGCTATTTTAATTCTATATTATGATATATTTTGGGCATATCAATGTCCCTTTAGACATGTTTTTTTTTTCTTTTTTGAAAAATACTGCGCATTTGAATTACATAAGAATGCATACAGGAACCTGGTGTTGCTGAAGCTGAATTCACTCTGTATGACATCAAGTCTGTGTTTAAGAAGACATTCGGCATGCGCAAGCCAGCTGCTCTAATTCTACCTAAGGACAAGAGCTTCTTTGACTCTCTGGATTCAGATGGAACTTGTCCTCCATGGATCAGAGGAAGATATTTCTTACTATGCAGAAAAATTTGCAAAAACAGGCTTTACTGGAGGATTTAACTACTACAGATGCATAAACAGGTATGTGTCTTATGGTCAGTTAACAATTTTGATTTTGCAGTTTACTTCTTTATTGATGCAACCAACCATTTACCGTCCAACAATTTCCCTTTTTTATTTGCCATGGGATAACTGAAACTCAGTTCACGTTTTTTTGGACAAATGCTATTTATTTGATATTCTGTAGTGCATACCTTTATGATTTTACTGTTGTTTATTCTTTCAAATGTTCCAAGTTGATTTGATTTTAATTTACACTTTTTTTGCGGGGTTTGGGTGTGTGTGGGTGAGGGGTCGTTTTAGCTTCGTGTGAAGCAAATCATTTTAAGTTTGATCAATCTTATAGAGAAGATTGTCAACATTTATAACACCTAGTAGGTATAATATGAAAACATGTTCCGTGTCATACTTATTTGGTAATATAAATACTGTCTTAGACTTGGTCAAATGTAAGATAGTTTGATAGGATAACTAGAATCTCAAGTTTTCTGAGACAGAGCTAGTGTAATGTTTGAAAATGAGAGGGGTTAATGATAGATAGTTGGTGCCAGCCAATATAAATTCAATCTTTATGTACAAAGGCTTTATTCAGAGCTAACAGAGGCATTTGTAAGGTCTCACGAGATCCATGTTGTGTTCATGCAGGAGTTGGGAGCTTTCTGCACCATGGACTGGAGCTCAGATAAAAGTTCCGTCGAAATTCATTGTTGGGGACCTAGACATTACATACAACGCCCCAGGGGTACCAGACTACATTCACAAGGGTGGCTTCAAGGCAAGCGTGCCAAATCTAGAGGACGTGGTTGTTATGGAGGGAGTGAGCCACTTCATCAACCAGGAGAAGCCTAACGAGGTTTCTGATCACATCTGCGAGTTCTTTAGCAAGTTCTGATATGTACAAGAAAGATCCCTCAAGGAGCCATTATATGCTTCTGAGCTATTTTTATGTCAAATGTGGTTGCGAGTGTCACCATACAAATATGATCCAAATAAAATTCGTCTATGTCTCTGATCAGAACTTGAAGATCTTCACTTCTCTCAGAGTGTTAATGCCATAGAAGTTTTAACATGTGGTTGATTGAAGTTTTAACATGTGTTTGGTTTGAGGGAGGACTTGTTTCAACGCAACCGGCTGGTTCACCCGCCCACCCTCCGCCGGTCCCAATCGGCGCCGCATTGCCACTCCGACGCGGCCCAAATACAACCCTTTTCATTTGGCTTATGTTGATACTTATGCTGAAATATTGTTGGAGAAAAATAATGTTCGTTCGCTGAAAAATACTGCTGAAGTAGTACGGCAGAACATGTAAAATACATAAACTAGCAGCAGTAGGAGCATCGAGGAGGGGGGAAGATTATTTCCTTCAGACAACCAGACATACATCTCGGCCAGCAATTGCTCTCGACGAGGCCAAGTACAGTACAAAAGTAGCATCACTACTAGGCGCATCAAAGGGGGGGAAGATTATTCAGAGAACCAGACACACATCTCTATCTCTAGTCTACTGTTCCTCTTTCTCTTCTAGTCCTCTCTCGTGTACCCAGATCTCTTGCTTCTAGTATCTTCTAGAACCCTCCTAGTGTCTTTCCCCTAACACCTACTCCCCTGCTTGCTACTTGTTACTGGAGAAGTGACTGAGGTTGCTAACATTTCTGCGCCACGAGATGAGCGGCATGCGGCAAGTGGTCGGCTGCTACCTGTCATGACATGGGCCCTGGGCTCCTAATAGTATTAGGGAGTGGGTCATCGATTTGGGCATGCGTATCTTTAACTGTGTTGGGCTTTGCCTATGTGTGGAACCATATATACTCTTGGCTGCTGTGGAGACATTATCGAAAATGAAATGAACTAATCTACTACCTCCAAACCTTCTATTTCTCCCCTCTTCTTCGTTCTTCTTCAGAGACGGCGACGTCGATCTCGCCCCGCCGTGCGTGTACGCCAGTATTTACCTTAAGGATCGTGACATTTGGTATCAGAGCCATCGATCGAGGAAGTTCATGTGTGGAGGCCCTAAAATTCTCCACCGATAGCTGCTTGATTTGGTGGAATTTGGGGAAAATTTCTCTGAGTTCGTCACATTCTGTGGTTGTTGTGGTTGGCTGATCACCGTGCTCATCGAGATCATGTGGATCTGCTACTTGGTGTCTCGGTATGGTCCAACCCGGAATTACACTGTCCATCGCCGCCATCGTCGAGCTCCAGGCGAAGATGGATCGCATGCTGCACATGGAGGAAGCAAACATAGGGATGTGTAGCACTCTCAAGACCCTTGCATCTGCGGTACGGTTGCCCGCACCCTTGTCTTCGTCCACTTCGACTCCGACTGCAGCGCCAACAGCTACGGCACCGTCATCCACAACCGCAGCGCCTACACCCACCACCACCACCATACTCGATGCCACCATACACTACCTCTCCTACCAGAGCCTTGCCATCATCGACCTGGCCTCTGGCTACCAGCCCCTCT